TATATATTTACGTACATATATGTATTTGTACAGCTAACGTGACATGAATTTTTCTCTCTCTCTAAGTTAGTGTTAGCCAGCATCCACATTGAGTAATTTCATCTTTATCGAATATTGGTTTCAGTAGTAACTAGCCCCCCAGTGGCACAGCGGTATGTCTGTGAACTTACAACGCCAGAATCCTGGTTTCGATACACGTGGTGGGCAGAGCACAGATAGCCCATTACAAACAATCTAGCTTTACATATTTCAAACACCATTTAATAATGATATTTATGAAATATTTTCTTTATTCTTTTAAAAAATAGATTTTAGAACTGATTGTCAAGAACGATGATAAATTGTAATAACACTTCAATTGACATGTAGAACAACTAAAGATTGAATAAACATCTACCAGTAATAAAAAATGGATATATCTAATGGACATTTCTGTGTACATGAATATATGTATTCACATATTAAATAATGCACGATATTATTATAACCAATGTAGCCTTATGTTTGAACAGAAATTACCACGTGATACTTAAAATGAGTAATCGAACATCTAAGTACCAATGGTTATTATAAGAAAATGTTAAAATAAAATAAAATGCACAATTTGACAATTTACATTCAGCTTTAAATTTTGCACGTAAATTACGACTTTTATAGTTACTCTTCTAACAATAAACCTTTTTAATTTGTTTATTTGTATAGAATGTTATCAACTGCAGAATATAAATCAAAGTTGTAACCACATAGTGAAATATGTAAGAACTTCGTAACGAACAACAACAAAATATAGCGGGTTGGATCCGTTAGGCTTCGAAGTTATTTCAAGATTTTATCGAATTCCATCGAGTATACAAGTAAAAGTAAACAGCCAGACATATAGATGGCGCTAAAATGCGTTTTGATAAATTTAAATTATTAATTTGTTTGTTTGTTTTATTGTAAAGCACAAAGTTACACAATGGGCTTTCCGTGTTGTGTCCATCACGAGTATTGAAACCTGGTTTTTAGCAAACTTTTAATCTAAAGTTAATGAAAGAGCATGTGCAGAATTTATTTAGAATTTTGGCATATAAACATTGAAAATATCGTTGAAATCTTAGAATTCAAATTTTAGTGTCCATGCTATATTATCCGTATTTGGGTAAATTTTATAAACCTAAGATTAATAATATTTTTCTAAAAAAACATAATTACACTGCAAGGTATATCAGCTATGAATTTACGGAATTACAATTTTAAAATTCTGGGTTCGATTTCTGGTAGTGGACAGAACGCAGATAGCCTATTTTATGGTTTCGCTAAATAAAACAAACATGGCAGTTTAAGGTAAGTAGCTGAAAGGTTGTTCTCTAATATAGTAATTATTACGAATTTTGATTTTTTCACTAAATATTATTAAGCATATGATTTGTATTTTAAGTTAGAAACTCAGCTTTGTGCAAACATAATAATTAGTATAGTAGCTTATCTTGAATATTAAAGTGAGCAATTTGAAATCTACAGCAGGAATTCTCAAACGTTCTCACCACAGCATATTTAAAGAATGATATTTTAAAATCTGTTGATTTAACTCTTTCAGCTTTAAGTTTGAATATTTCACATGCAATTTTCTTTTGTTAACAAATTTTGCGTATTTACTACTTCCATCCTGAAACTTTCGTGTGGCCTTTAGTTTGGGAATTTCTTCTGTGAAGAAGTACCGCCATCTAGTGTAACCCAACAAAGAGAAATATATTATCATAATATTTTAAAGGATAAACGATTCTGCTAATCATATCCACCAAACTGTTTTGAACCCTGCAGTCACAACATTTCCATTAGGCAAAAATATATGTCTGATTCTTATAACAGTGCTATCGAAAACCTTTGATGTATATCTATGGTGGAGAGACCATAGAGTACAGTATCTGCATGTCAAAATTTTTATTGAGATTAAGGAGATAATTCAAATCTTGTATATGATTTTCATGAAGTTTCATTTAGATAATACCATGTGGTGGAAAATTATAACCATCTATAATTGTCATGAGGCTTCATTTAGAATACCTTATGGAATTTTGGTGTGCTAGTTGCTAAAAGAAAACAGGCATGGTTAAAGAAAAAACTACTGAATTAATTTTTTTTTCTAAATGTAAGAGTTATAAAGAAAGACTCAAAGACTTGGGATTGTTTTTACTGTGGTTAGAAAACCTAGAGGTAACTTGACTGAAATGTTTAAAAATGTGAGGCAGTTGAATAAGTTGCCTATCATAAGTCTGTTTGGAATGATAAGGCTGGAAATAGAAACTTAAAAATTTAGCTTTGGAAGATCTTATCTAGATGTATCTGATAAAATCATTTCTGTGCAAGTTTATGGCTTTGTAGTTTAGACACTGAGTAGCGTTTTGTTATATTTCTCATTTGTATGATTATGGATCAGCATCTAATTTTATACATTCTATTTTGTAAGTAGTGCCTAGGATATGTAGAAATCTACCTTTACAACTAACTTGTTCACTTATGACCTGTTGGTTAAACCTCATTAAAATATAGTACCTATATAAATGAGAAGTCACATAAATATCATTACCACCATGGTAAATATGCATAGAGGCATGATTTTAGCAACTTTAGTTTTTCTAAATGCAATAGGAATAACTTTTCACTTACCTAGCTAAAAATAAAAGAACTGTTATATTATATATTTTTTCAACCAAAAAAAAGAAAAAGAAAATCTTAGATGGGGTGTAAATGTAAGGTTTCTATCAGGCTGAGTAACCATAATTTTAAATGTTTTTTAAACATGTATTTATATTAAAAAAAAGAAAAAGTTTGAAAATTCTTTACATTATGATCAATGATGGCAAATAATGATGATTTTGTATTGTATGTTTTATATAGAATGGGCAAAACACAAAATATTTATTAAATCTGGCCAATTTTAATTCAAAAATAGAGCAGGTTACACAACCATACAATTTCTGGAAAACTAAACAACACTCTGAAACATTAATTCTCACTTACTCCGTGTTTTCTTTTACCAATTAAATAAGAATTTTTTACATTAAAATAAGGTTCTCAAGCACATGTGGACTACTCAGATTGCACCTATAACTTGTGCTGTACAAAATGTTTCTGTCAAGATCTTTTTTTATCACACTATAATTTTGAAGTTGAGAAAACACGTTCAAACTTTTGATTTGACATACAAATATATTTCCCACAAAATCTTTATGATATCTTACAATGAAAGAAGATGAATAAAGTATACCTTACTAATATAATGAATACTGTTATAGGGGTTTAAAAAAAATTATTTACCATACCAGATGTCTAATTTAAAGATTTTAAGATATAAATTAATAATTAAGGAGTGCTATAATATGTCACTATCAAACAATACAAAGATATTTCAACATGTAATCATTGATAATTCCAATATTATAATGTGCTCCATTTACAAAATATGTAATAACTAAACATGTCATTTCTTTCATTTTGTAGTTTGTCTGAGGAAGTTTGATTCTGAAGTTGTTAATTATCATACACAAGAATGAAAAACAATTCACTAACACCTCACTCAAATAAATAAGCCTTTGTGTAATCACATAATCAGACAACAAAATACTAGGTGTAGAAAATTCAATGTTGTGACAAAAAAAATTAAATACATTTTACATCTATTTTCATTATAACCTTTCAAACAAGTTAACACTTCTTGTAACATACACTGTATATTTTACAGAACCTTTTTATAAATTCCTAAGATAAGAAAATATTCTTAGTTTGTTTAAACGAACCTAAAAACTGTTTTACAACTGAAGTGAGTTGGTCTGTGATAAAAAAATATCTTAGTTACAGATAAAATGCTTTATGAATCTAGAAATAAAATTATACAGTTGAAATAATTCCATTCTTCTAACCAACTTGCATTGAATCAATATTTGTGGATATTAAATGTTTTTATTTTTAAAAGAAACTTACAAAAATTCCTATTTCACAAGAAACATTAACTGTTTACAAAAATGTTTTGTTCATATGTCACCAAAAATATTTTTGTCTCATAAAATTACAAAAAAAAAGTAATTAGTAATTTTCTTTTATATACCAATGCAGTTGATAATTTAAGGCACCAAACATAGAGCTAAAAGTTGTGGTACCATTAAGAGGAAATTTCTTGGTAAAAAAGGCTTTATCCAATAAATATGCAACTAGAAAATAATACAACAGAAATAAATGAGCTTTTAAAAAGTAGTTCTGAACACATATAAGACATTTGGTGAATCAAACTACTAGCTAAGAAACTATTAGTAAATCTTGATGTGACAGTATAGCTCTATGGGGATATATAGAAGAAACATGTTTTAGTATTGTTTTAATGAAGAATACAAAGAGCTATTTTTAGAATATGTTGGCAAATTTGAAACATATCTCCTGGAAGACATTTAATCACTTATTCAGCTGACCTAGAGAACTGGAGTGTTTCCACCAGGGTGATGGTAGACCCCCCCACTGAAGAGCTCTTCCCTACCCTAATCTGAAATATCAGGATTTAGTGCTTTAAGATTTTCAAATTCTCCATTCATTGTAACTCCCCCTAACACAAAAGTGTTAATGTCTTTTTAATAGGCAAGGTAATTTTACCATGCAACTTGAACTGAAAGAAGTATTTACAATCAGTTGAAACCTGGGGGTGGGTTTAGTGGTAGTTTCAAAGAGCATCAGACCTCTGTATGAAGCTCTGCAAAGAGAGCCTGAGGTAATTTTGGCTTTTTTGATAATTAAAAAGAATAAATAAACACTTCTTAAAGGCAAAAGAGTCAATTTCTTTCATATCTAATAACACTTGACCCCCCTTCTGCTCCCAAACTCACTTTTGCCTCATATAAAAAAAATCCTATAATTTTCACTGACAAAGACAAGTGAGAAGCAAACTGTGTGTGTCTTATGGTAACAAAAATACAGTCAGTGTATTCCTGCTAAACTTTTTTTTTTCTATAATTCTTTACTGAGACAGATCTGTATCGAAATAATGTTATTAATCTCCAAATAAAAAAATGTTGGAAGATGAATTTTTATACTGTTGCATATAAAATAATACATTAAATGTGATATGTATTGAAATAAGTAACCTAAGGATTTATACTATATCAAACAAAGTAAATTCCCCAGTGCCTAAAAAAATTCATGGCTACAAGAACAGTTACTTATTTCATGTAAACTAAAATCTCCCAATCTAAAAAAATATCACAAACAATTTGGGTGTTTTTTACATCAACTGAAAGCAAAACAATTAACAATAACCATTCAGTAACAAAAAAAAAAAACACTTGCAAGCTTCCTTGTCAACACATAGTAGAAATAAAAGCACTTTTAAAAATTTTATGATACACATTTTGTAGAATTCATTGTGAATATAATGTTAGTGAATATTTTGTTTTAATCATAACAGTAAAAATTGTAATTTTAAACTCATATGTGTGCCTTAGTCACTTAAATAAAACTATCTCTTAGAAAAATTAGACACACTTGTAAAAATTCAAATTAGACTGTTAAATGCAAAGAAAGATTTCCACTTGGATTTGTGATGGTTGCACTATGCTAACATTTACAGAGGGAAATAAGCTGAGAAGAACATCCAAGTCAATTCATCATTCTATCACGAGAAGAGTACATAGTCAATTTTTTTAAGTTTATATATATATATGATCAAGACCTTTGGAGAAAGTAGCTTGCTCCATAATTGTTTGTACCAATTACAGAACTTAGTATTATCATTACTGTACTGAAACATGAGAAGTTAACAAACTTGTTTTATCACAAATGTGATTTTAGACTCATTTGGTGGAATCAATTCTATATTAAGAAAATTTAGGACATTTCTTCAAAAAAATAATTTTGTTTTATGTAATGGAGAAATGTGGTAGAATTTCTTAACATTGGTTCATCATAGTAACCACGAACTGAACATAAGTAGGTTGTTTGATTTCTTACAATAACCAGAGTAGCTTGGTTTAATAGGAGTTTTAGTTGTGGAACAAGATGGGGGAATAATCTGTTTATCATGGAACATGATAATCTAATTTGTCATGGTTACTTTCTATAGAAAGTGAAGAATTAGCTTAGATTATCATGATTAATAGGTAAGGAATTTGAAAGAAAATACTGCTATTTTTCATGTTATCAGTTATTAAGATACTTGTAGAACATTATTTATTATGATTATACTTGCTACCTGTGGTATTCTTAGTAGCTATGGAGATACATAGGTGTATTATGGCTATTAAATTTGAAGAAAATGAGTGGTCTTAGTAAATCAGGCATAATACAAGTGAATGTGTATGTTTGATCAGCAGGAAGGATTGGTTTATCATAGTTTTTAGCAGAGGTTGACTACTGTGATTGGAACTAATGCATGTGCAAGTAGAGTAAAGGACAGTCAGTAACAGCAGATTATCACAGTTTACTTCACATCTTAACTAGAATAAACTTACCAAAGTGATATTTTAACTGTTATGTTTTCTACTAACATTGTAAAATATTTTTTGTGCAGTAGGTTGGAGTATGCTTCTTTCCAAGCACCTATGAATTTATTTATATCTTTAATCCAACATTAACAGGAGAATTTGTCAGTTTATATAACTCAAGAAAATAATACAAGTCTTTTTAATATGACAAACACATATTTTCTAATTTCCCTATATGATCAAACTTGGGTAGGGTGAGTGGGGCAGTTGTTCCAGGTGCAAAGCAGTGAGGGGAAGCATAATTACCAAGATGGCTTTCATTGGTACTCACAAAGGGGCAAAAATATAATGGCTTGCCCTGGATGCTAAATTGTCTAGTTACGGCTCTGCTTAAAAGAATTATTATTTTCTTAATTAGCCAACTGAAACAAATCAATTTTTTCAATTATATATATATAAATATATATTGGTTCAATTAATCAACAAGTATAAGAAATTTCTTATAATAACAGGAGATTTTTGTAAAGATTATATTCAAACAAACAAAATCTGAAACTGAAATGCAACTCAGTACAGTCAACTAACATTAGCTTCAGCAACTGTTGATATTATAAGTTATTACACACATTGTTATACACACTTTAATTGTATTATATTTACTTGTATCATGTTAAGCAAACAGTCCAGTAAAACTCTGCAGATTACACCACAACTTCCAAGTAAATCCAATTTTTTAATATATTGAATAAAACATAAAACTTACCTATATGTTAAAATACCAATAATTAATATAAAGACGTGAAACATACAATAGAAAACGTATGTACTTACAAATTGTATATTCTCTATACATCCATACATAACAAAGATTTAATAACACAGTTATATATAAACTTGTAGACTCTAAGACCTTCTTAAACCTTATAGGATCTGTGACATGTAAAATAAGTAAACAAATTTAAAAGTATTTTTTCACTATTACCACTTCAGCACCAAGACTCCCATGTATAAGATGCATGTTACATAAATACATGTAACAACTGATACACAAATACATGTAACAACTGATACACTTGGACTAATGTGGTATGGAAGTATGATTTCTTCACTTTTTTTTTCCTCTCAAAAATATGTTTTATGAATTATTGACTTAGCCTATAACTTTAACAGACAGATAATATATATTTCTGATGGTTCTTATCAAGCATTTTAAGGTCCATTCAGCTATCACTTATGTATTCAGAATCCACATGTAGCCGCTGTATAGCATTTTGGCAGGTCTTTTTTGTTCCTTATTATTTTGATTAATGTATATTTGAGTCTGTAGCTAGTTTTCCAAGAACCACACATACATCAGTAATGCTATAATATATCTTTCAGGTTTTCTGTATCAGTATTAATTGAGATTAAAAGTTATCACACATACACACAAAAACAAAATGCCATCTTGTATGGATTAGTACTTTTTTTTTTAAGAGTTATTGCTTAGTTTGCTACTTTAAAAAAAAAATTAACATTTAAAAATAATAGATAAGGAGTTGCTATAAAACAGTGAGCTAATATAGAATTACTTAAGAATGTTGCAGTATGTGTCTTTTTTGCACAATTTTCATGTTTATCCATGCAAATATGCCTTTATAAGTGACAGCACAAAAAGTGAGATTAATGGACTCCAGTCTGTCTAGTATAATAAGTTTTAGGAGACCAATGCTTATGTCAATAATATTAAAAGGAAAAAGCTGTACCATTTTAAGTTTCTGATCAAAATAAAAGAGAAGTGAAAATGCTAAGTTAAGGATAACAAATGGTAAAGAATAATTTCATGAAAATATCACCTGCTTATAATGTCTTGTCTGATAATGTTTCAGACAGCCACCCTTTATCAGAACTAAATACAAACATATCTAGGTTTGATGAAGTTAAATTTCCTGAAATATTGCAGGGTAAAATTATTTGTTTCTTTACAATATTTCAGAAGCACATTATACCAAAGATAACTGATCAGTTTAAAAATGTGAGTTAGGATTTTAAACTTGGATTGGCACATCTGTTTCCTTTTCATGACATTGACAATGGTTTCCCTATGAGTAACTTTATTTTTATAGTATTCTTGGAATCACTTTCTCTTGTCATTTAGTTCCAAGAAATCAAAAGTATGACAGAAAAACTCCAACATATATCGTAAGATTTGGAAGTTTTGTGGATTTTAGTAACTAGTAGTTAACTTCAGATACTAGGTTTTGCATCAGATTATTTTTTTCACTATTTCATTTTTCATGTTCAGTTGTAAAAGTTTGGTCATAACGTAGTTTGTTTGAATATTTCACTTATTGTACATCAAGAATGTTTTTAAAGATTGCTTTAAAAGTTTGGTTATAATGTAAATTGTTTGAATATTTCACTTATTGTACATCAAGAATGTTTTTAAAGATTGCTTTAAAAGTTTGGTTATAATGTAAATTGTTTGAATATTTCACTTATTGTACATCAAGAATGTTTTTAAAGATTGCTTTAAAAGTTTGGTTATAATGTAAATTGTTTGAATATTTCACTTATTGTACATCAAGAATGTTTTTAAAGATTGCTTTAAAAGTTTGATTGTTGTACCTAAAAGTTTTTAAATTAAAATTATAATTAATTCTACAATCTCAGATTTTGTGCATAGTGTTGAGTTAGCTTATATTTGCCATAAGTATCCACATTTGATGAACAAGTAATAGTATTAACTTCATTCTTCTAAACTCTTCATCAGAGAAGCTGTTGAAAATAAAGTCATTTTTATTTTTTATCAGAATTCCAAATTTTTGTAAGAAAAGCTCTTTATACAAAGTTTAATCTTTGTTTTAGATTCTATTTATTTGTGGTTATTTTCAGAAATCCAGTTTTTACTTTATAACAGTTTCAGTGGTTCAGTTTTTGTGTCAAGCATTTCTTAAGTTTGTAGTTAATTTCGATTATTCAAGTTCTATGTGATATGTTTCTTAACTAATATGTAATTGTGGTTTTGAGTTAAATTAATATCAGCTGTAAGCTCAAAATGTATTTGAAAGTTTGTTTACTTGCTGTTAGTGCTAAATGTTCACTTTTAATAAACATAAGAGTTGGTATATCTAAATTCTATTGGTTTTGTGTTTATCAATATGTATTTAGCTTCAAAGTGTAATTCTATTACAAGATACATATATCTATTTGAAAACAGTTTTATTCTAACCTTTCATTTTTCCACCTTAGGTTGTAGTTACCTTATTACTTCTGTATTTTCTAACTCTGCTAAATGATTTTGTTCTAGCTGTGTTTCAGATAGTGTAACCTTCACAAAACACCAACACCCATGAAATTTAATATATAACATCAAGAAAACAAAATAACTGTGTAATCCATGTGAAATTCCTGGTAAATATTATTCCAACAGTGACTACATTATTCTGACATTAACCATATGAACAAGTTGTGTCATTAGTTCAGTGTAAACCCCTGGG